ATGGGCAGCCTGGGCGCCCCGTTCCGCCAGCCCGCCTTCAACGCCGCCCACCCCGGGTCACGAATCAGCAGCTCCACTTACCTCCTGCCAGCAAGCTCTCTCAGGCCAGCTCTGTCACTGGCCGCTGAGCCTTTGGAAAATGTAACCCTGTCAGCCCTTGCTCTGCAGCAGGAGAGCTCACGCTTCAGTGCGTGCACATGGGTGCACAAGCATGCCAGCACGTGATACATGTATGCATGGTACCCATAAACATGTGCCCACCTGTGGGCATGACACAGACACATGCACGTGCACAGCCATGCACACATCTACAAATGTGGTCACGTGGCAGCACCCCGTATGTGTGCCAGAGGAAGCTCTCATGTGTACTGTCAGAGTGGTCTACTAAGCATGTAGATCCCTTCCACTGGTGTGTTACCTTACGTGCATGTACATGTGTGTCCACTGATACGCTTTAGTAGTGAACACATTCTACTATCCACATATGCACTCATACACATTCATGAACATGTGTGTGTCCTGAAACTGCCATTCGAGTACATGGTACATGTATGTATACAGCTTCAGGTGTGCTGTGCACGTGAGCACCATGCATGACACACACGCACATCTGCATGTGGAGCCTCAGGAACATGGCAAACTCTAAATTCAAGTGCCTTGTGTCCATAGGTGTGTTTGCACACATGAACGCACAGCCCTACACATATGAACATGAAGTAGTGCTCACCTATGAACATCTCCAAGTGTCCAAGTCCACGCCACATGCACACGCACATGCAGTGAGATGGACCCCCCACGCACCTACCACGTGTATTTACCTTCGCTTCCAGACCACGTGTCCTCATACCTTCCTACCTCTGTCCACGTGCGCCCGCCGTGGTTCACCCACAGCCACGCTGCATGTGCCTTGTCCACAGCATGCACGCAAACAGACACGTGCCTCCCAAGCACATCCCTGGCACGTGGATGCACACGCCCTCCCCTGGGGTGCAGCCTGCCCCAGCCCCAGATTGTCAGGTGTGCTGGGGATGGCAGGAATGTGCCCACACGCAGAAATCGCCACTCACGCAGAATTGCATCTGCCGCAAACTTCTCATCTGCTGTGCAAATGATGATTAAATGTTATTGTGCAAGAGAAAACGGCAAGGAGGGATTCATTAGCTTTATTGTCAGGAAGGGCTCCATGGGCTCCCGCTCCCAACTCCGAGGCTGGCTTAACCCCTTGTGTGCTGCGGTGGGGGTGTGATGCTTGAACATGGGCATGCGACGCTGGAAGGGCCGGGAGGCAGAGATACTGGTGCTGTGCCCACGTGAGTCAACCCAGGTGCAGAGAGCACTGTGGAGTGAGGCACGATGCCCGTGCGGCCCTCCAACCCCACCCCTCATTTGCTGCATGGTCGGACTCATTATTTCATCCACCGAATCATCCCCCACCCCTACCGCATGCCCAGAACATAGACTTACAGACCCATGGTCCCTTTGGGGGAAGCGAAGCTTCTCAGATGGCAAAGGGTATTCCGGGCCGAGCAAACAGCTTAAGCTGAGTCTTACGGGCTTGCAGGCAGCAGGAGCAGACCAGAGCTTGTGAAGGAAACAAGGACCTGGGCGTGTCAGGTAGGGGACAGGTGGGAAAGGGCCCAGGCAGCCCTTTTCCTAGAACAAGGGAAACAATGAATGGTGTATGGATTGAGCTGACAAAATGCAGGGTGCCCAGTGAAGTGTGAATTTTAGATAAGTAACAAATGATGTCTTTTTTTAGTGTCAGCATCCTAAATATTGCACAGGACATGCATATGCTAAAACACATATACATTGTTGGTTTGAAATTTGCATTTCACTAGAAATTCTGTATTTTCATTTTTGGAGAGGTTTTTGCTATAGGGCACGTGTGCTCACCAGAAAGACAGAGAGAGACAGAGAGACAGAAAGCAAGAAATCACCTCTCAGGGGGGAGTGGCCACGCCGCAATCCCTTCTCCTCCATTCTCTTCTCGGGATCTTGCTTCCAGACCACGTGTCCTCATACCTTCCTACCTCTGTCCACGTGCGCCCGCCGTGGTTCACCCACAGCCACGCTGCATGTGCCTTGTCCACAGCATGCACGCAAACAGACACGTGCCTCCCAAGCACATCCCTGGCACGTGGATGCACACGCCCTCCCCTGGGGTGCAGCCTGCCCCAGCCCCAGATTGTCAGGTGTGCTGGGGATGGCAGGAATGTGCCCACACGCAGAAATCGCCACTCACGCAGAATTGCATCTGCCGCAAACTTCTCATCTGCTGTGCAAATGATGATTAAATGTTATTGTGCAAGAGAAAACGGCAAGGAGGGATTCATTAGCTTTATTGTCAGGAAGGGCTCCATGGGCTCCCGCTCCCAACTCCGAGGCTGGCTTAACCCCTTGTGTGCTGCGGTGGGGGTGTGATGCTTGAACATGGGCATGCGACGCTGGAAGGGCCGGGAGGCAGAGATACTGGTGCTGTGCCCACGTGAGTCAACCCAGGTGCAGAGAGCACTGTGGAGTGAGGCACGATGCCCGTGCGGCCCTCCAACCCCACCCCTCATTTGCTGCATGGTCGGACTCATTATTTCATCCACCGAATCATCCCCCACCCCTACCGCATGCCCAGAACATAGACTTACAGACCCATGGTCCCTTTGGGGGAAGCGAAGCTTCTCAGATGGCAAAGGGTATTCCGGGCCGAGCAAACAGCTTAAGCTGAGTCTTACGGGCTTGCAGGCAGCAGGAGCAGACCAGAGCTTGTGAAGGAAACAAGGACCTGGGCGTGTCAGGTAGGGGACAGGTGGGAAAGGGCCCAGGCAGCCCTTTTCCTAGAACAAGGGAAACAATGAATGGTGTATGGATTGAGCTGACAAAATGCAGGGTGCCCAGTGAAGTGTGAATTTTAGATAAGTAACAAATGATGTCTTTTTTTAGTGTCAGCATCCTAAATATTGCACAGGACATGCATATGCTAAAACACATATACATTGTTGGTTTGAAATTTGCATTTCACTAGAAATTCTGTATTTTCATTTTTGGAGAGGTTTTTGCTATAGGGCACGTGTGCTCACCAGAAAGACAGAGAGAGACAGAGAGACAGAAAGCAAGAAATCACCTCTCAGGGGGGAGTGGCCACGCCGCAATCCCTTCTCCTCCATTCTCTTCTCGGGATCTTGGGCAACACACGCACGTGCACCCGGCGTGAGTTTAAGCCACCGGGTCCAGGACTCGAACCGTGTTCAACTACCTGGGAGTCCAGTGACATAGCCATTATGCTAACTGCTGGTCCCCGGAATCCTGTGTTTTTATTTGCCAAATCTGGGAACTCTTTGTGCAGGATGAGAGGGTAAAAGGAGAGACAAGGAGAACACTGAGGGGGAGGTCACCATCTCGCCTTCCTTATCCAGAGAAGCCCCAGTGTCTAGGTCGGCACATGATCATCTAGCACAAGGACCACATTTCTCAGCCTGCATGCATGGACTGAGTCCTAGCCAGTACCACCTAAGCAGAATTGCCACATGGCAGCTTCTGAGACACCCTCTAAAGGCTGCTGGCCCATACCTTTTGCTTCTTCTTCTTCTTTTTTTTTTTTTTTTTTTTGCCTCTTTCTCCTTTCTGCTTGATGAACACAGCTGAGATAGCTGGAGCTCAAGCAGCCACCTTGGACCATGAGGACAGAGGTCATGCCCTATGGAGGGTCAGCTAGTGAACTAGAAAGAGACTTGGTTCCTTTCAATCTCATTGCAACTACCATACCAGCCCTGCACTTCCCATCTTCGGACTTGGTTTATATGACAGAGAAATGAACACCCAACTCAGTGATGGTACCGTTATTTCGGTCTTCTGTCCCAAGCAACCAAGCCTAATTCTAACTGATATGAGAGGCTGACGCAGGAATCTCAGAAAGAGAGAGAAAGAGAGAGAGAGAGAGAGAAACTGAGGCTTAAACTAGGTCAGCAACAATGAATGCAAGAAATATTTAGAAAAGAGGACTCGGCAGGAGTTGGCAATTGACCGGGTGTGAGAATGGCCGGTAGGGGAGGTCAAAGGCTTCAGGCTTGAGTGACAAGAACAGCAGAGCTGGTAATGAGCCAGGGAACCCAGGAGAAGCCGTGGCTTTGGGGTCATGCAAAGTCAGTCTGATTTTAGACACATTGAGTTTGGGGGGGCCTG